GTAAGGGAAACAACTCTGATGTTAAGGGATAACTCAAAGGACACGTACGTTAGTAGAAGTGGAACTCTTTTTCGTGGCGATAACTTATTGAAGTATCAAGTACCGATTTCCTTAATTCAAAATTGATTTTAACACTAAAAGCATGCTTAGGTTGATGATAATGTTACATGTGTTTAAATCATTCCTGCATTTGGAAGAAAAAATAATAACGTGCTCTAATAATAGAGCGGAATTAAATACAATATGAGTGGGGGCGACATTACAGGGAAAGATAGTCAGTAGTATGATGACAGATTACCTTAACAATAAGTAACCTCATATACGCCAAGTTAGGAAGACGTATGTGTGATCCGGCATAGACATGATAATTATTGACCCACGACAGGCTGACTCGAGCTACTGATTTTGTGTAATTCTTTCGCAATGTGACCGTGTACACGCCCGGGTATGTATACAGGAGAGGTACCGTACCATGGCATGAGGACCGATTACCTATGGTCATTTAGCTTAGTCATCCACAGCCATGTTTCGAAGTGATTTGGTATGAACACCTGTACACGACATTGATCTTCTATCGCAGTGTTGCACTACACCTGTTGATTGGGAGAAAGATAAAGACGTGAACGGGGAGATGTGGCCTGGCGGGGACCCCGACCTCCTTCTCACCGGCATATTTACCCTGTACCCGAAACCGGAGTACATGGTTCGTGTTTCATTGTCACCGTGGAGGCTCTCGTATAGAAACGTAGACGACGAAGCAAGAAGGAAGAACACAGTCAAAAGTGTCGACATTGGAAGTATTATTGGATGTCAGTGTCGTAAATCCAAGACCACTGACGACCCTTTGACATATTTCACTGTATATGCATACCCCTCTCGCCACAAAACGTGCAGACCCTCCAAACGGGCTCGTGTTCGCAAGGCGATAACATTCGGTTGTAACAAGTCGTCCTCGCTCGAGGACAACTTTCGAACGTGTGCTAAATGGAGAAACGTCATATGTAGATTGGCAAAGGGCCAGCACTTGTCTATCGAAGGTATTTATATGCACTTACTGGTTCATAATTAAACTAAAGCGTTTAAGTTTTGAGTATACATTATGATGGTCATGCTCTAGTTCACTGCTACTTCAGTGGTACAGGTAAATTATTGATTCGTGTTCAACACCGGTAAACACAAACACTTGAGGGCACCATGACAACACAATCGCAATGTATGTACACAAAATAATAAGGAAAAAATAATGATATATAAATAGACAATATTAAAGAGGAGTGCTCGTAATTTTGAAATGTTCTAGTTTATATAACTATATCATATAGAACAGCATATATATCACCGATACTGTCTTTCATATAACAGACTTTGCACAAAATAATGTTGACAGGTAGTGAAGATTTTCAAATAAACGGAATATGAGATCAACCAATCAATACTCAAATACCATAAGAATTTCATCAAAATAGTATGACTACTTTTTATTACTTAATTCACAAGTGAAATGTTGATATAGTATTATATGCCTACGTACAATATATTGTATGTATGCCTTGTTTCAGTCCGATTCCTCTTTCTGTAATCATAAAGCTTCGCTCTTTTTAGGCTTCGTCTTTTTCATGTTATAGTAATGAGAGTCGGTAAATTTAGTGACTTGCTAAAGTGACGTAATTTGGATTATGTACAATCCCTGGTGTCTTATTGGAACGTACTTGATATTACTTTGTGTGTCCGAATTCAGTCCAAAAAAAAAAAAAAAAAGAACTTCCTGTCGGCATTCACAATCGAGTCCGTCTTAAACTAAATTCAATAACATTTGATAGCATTGACTTTGACCAATTTTTATCAAAACGATTGCATTACACGATTCCCCCGTAGAGAGCAAATGGCTTTGCTGAAAAAGATTGTGTGGAAAGATTTTATATTTAAAACAAGAAAAGAAAAATCTGCTTCGACCTGTGACCCCGATGAAGCGTTGAATTCAATATTCTCTCTGTAGAAAACGGTGTCATCGAAATTTTGTATAGCTGGGATATATTATGTCCAGCACCTTAAAATCACGATGATCTAAGGAAACACAGTTAACACATATTCTTTTGGATTGTTTATAGAGCAGACTTCGGTAAGATCGAGGTTTGAGGTAACCCCTGAGTGTAACACAGACAAGTGGATACTTTTTGGCTTGGTCACGTGATCGCCCCACTTATAGACCATGACTGTGTAACTAAGGACTTTATATAACTATCAACTTATGTACACATACTTATGCTCTTAAAACGCCTACTGGCAGGAAGATGGCTAACTCATACCTGTGACAAGAGAGAGAGAGAGAATGGGTGTGTTGGTAATGTAAATGGTTATATAACACGCTTCACACATTTTTTTAAAAAAATTTATTGCTTTGATGTCACGAGGGAAACCAAAAACAGACGTCATGTGATCGAAACCAAATACGTATATATCACATGTGTTATATACGTCTCTGTGGAAACTTAATCTGCGAAATGAAATTCACAAAACATCAAATCACGAACTTTGCCTGTGATTATTTTTTCTGTAATTAAATTAAAATATGTACTAATAATTTTAAGAAAGTCCGCGAATTGTGAACAATGATCTAAGATATGTAACAGAGATCCATACGACAAATAAAATTTCACACGGCTAGTTAGTGAAAATCTTCGACACGGAAAAAATTCGACACGGCTAGTTAGTGAAACTCTTCTACACGGAAAAAAATTCGACACGACAAGTTAGTGAAACTCTTCTACATGAAAAAAAAAATCGACACGGCTAGTTAGTGAAACTCTTCTACACGGAAAAAAATCGACACGGCTAGTTAGTTAAACTCTTCGATACGGAAAAAAATCGACACGGCTAGTTAGTGAAACTCTTCGATACGGAAAAAAAATCGACACGGCTAGTTAGTGAAACTCTTCGACACGGAAAAAAAATTCGACACGGCTAGTTAGTGAAAATCTTCGACACGGAAAAAAATTCGACACGACTAGTTAGTGAAAATCTTCTACACGGAAAAAAATTCGACACGACTAGTTAATGAAAATCTTCTACACGGAAAAAAAATTGACACGACTAGTTAGTGAAAATCTTCTACACGGAAAAAAATTGACACGACTAGTTAGTGAAAATCTTCTACACGGAAAAAAATTCGACACGACTAGTTAGTGAAAATCTTCTACACGGAAAAAAATTCGACACGTCTAGTTAGTGAAAATCTTCTACACGGAAAAAAATTCGACACGACTAGTTAGTGAAAATCTTCTACACGGAAAAAAATTCGACACGACTAGTTAGTGAAAATCTTCTACACGGAAAAAAATTCGACACGACTAGTTAGTGAAAATCTTCTACACGGAAAAAAATTCGACACGACTAGTTAGTGAAAATCTTCTACACGGAAAAATATTCGACACGACTATGGATAGTCCGAACTCGAATACAAAAATAGCATGCCTTCGTCACAGATAAAAATATCTAACTGCTCAACATGACAAACATGGCTATCTATTGTCACGCTTGGACGCAAACAATAATATCTAACTGTTCGACACGGACAGAAATCCACACAGATATGTCATTTAGAATGAAATAAGAGTATTAGACACTCTTCTTCTTTTAGGCCTTTTAAAGCATATGTAAAAAGATTCATTGTATACAAATGGTAAATCCAGCAAGTGTAAGAAAAATCAAGAACTAGAAAACTAAGCATTCTTCATTGTCGTCTGAGAAACCGAGTGAGCACTGTTAACTTTTCCGAGTGATAGCTTCAGCTGCGTGTCAATACATCCTTGTAAAGGTTCTTATCATTTTTGTTTTATTTGTCTTATATATGACAATTTCCGACTTGCACTAAGTACAGAATTAGCGAAACGCGTCTGCGAGGGATATGAAATAAGTTGGACTCTGTGCATTGGCATTTTCCGCACTAGAGCTCTGAAACCGTTCAAGATGTCTATTTATAACCGCTTTGTACAGTTATCATGTTAGTTATCTTGAAGTACATTTTGATACGGAGACGTTCTGCATTTTCTGTTACCATGGAAACAGGCTAAATTACAAATTTCGGTTTTCCCAGACAACAGCTCTGATACTGCTCAAATATCTACTCAAAACTGTACAGCCATCAAGCTAGCATTCTGCTCGTGCCTTTTGCTATAGAGGAGTTCTCATTTATATATATACATGTATATGTTATTACAGAGACAGGCAAAACTACAAATGTTGCTGTCTCTGTAATAAAAGCCGTTTAAGATAACTTCCTGATACTTTAACTTTTCATCCCTCTCTTTAATAAATCTGTTGACGATGAAGGAGTTACCGCCATGGAAACCGATAGAAACGGTCAAAATTACAAATTTCACGGTTTCTAGAGCATGGCAAGAAAACCGTATCTGAAACTTTATATACTTCGTACAAGCTAGCGTTCTCTTGTGCTTCTTTTTCGTTTAGGATATTTTCTTTTGTTGTTGTCTGTCAAAAGTAATGTGTAAAGTAAGATGTTCTACGTCAGAATTTCTCTTCCTCAATTTTATGATGATGTGAAGAATATATGAAGTTCATCTGATAAGTCTTTAGAATTGTCTTCGCTTGAAATTGCCGAGAATTTAAAGGTAATTTTGAGGTCAAGTAAATTCACACTCCCAATGGAAAACTATAAAATTTAAACAGAATAATACAACTCGCTTTACGCTATTTCCACTAAAAGACACTTAACTGTGTATATGATATGCTGCGGGTCCCAAGCGCTGCCTGTGCATCTTTAACGAAGAAAATATCTTTCCATAACATGTCACATGATCAAGTCACATGACACACATACATACAAAATGGCGAGTAAAAAGTCGGAGCAGCTCCTGTTCGGTACATTTTCTTTGTATCCGAGGACAAGACCGTCCTTTAGGGTTTCACTGTCACGAATGGGAGTAACATATAAAAACATTGATGAATGTGACGAGAAAGACCAATGTGTCCGACACATAAATATGGGCGATATAGTCGGTTGCCGGTGTCGAAGATCAAAAACGGCAGACGACTCAACAGCATACTTCACAATATATGCATATCCATTTCGGAAACGGACTATGAGTTCCAAGTTAACACGGATTCGTATGGATTTTACATTCGGATATAATGCTTCCCCTTCATTTGATGACAATATCCGAATATGTGCAGTGTGGAGAAACGTTGTGACTCGTTTGGCAAGGGGCCAAGATGTAGCGATGGAAGGTAGTGTTTACTAACACGTCAGTGATGAGTGTTACTTGTGTACTCGCAGCCATAGTGAACACCGGTATAAAGGTGGCCGTTATACAAAAAAGTTAATAACCATGAAAATGTCGCACTGGTGCGGCATGTTATATTTTACATATTCAATTAAGTAATAAACCTTAAAATGTCTTAAGTCATTGTAACTCATTTTGAAGGAAGCCATTTATACATGCCAACATAAGAACACATTTATGAAACACATATTCCAAAACATTAAATGCATCAAACAAGCAGGATATATTACAATTCATTGTTGATTATGTGTAGAAAAAAGTTTAAGTATTCATCCTGACATATACCATTAGTATACAAACCTACTGTTTGCTCAAAAAATAATTTCTTATTGAAAAACAATGGAATGATATTTAAATTATGTCTGAAGTTCAGATATCCCTTTGCATTTTGGTTAATAAGTTTGCTTTGAGTTTGATAATGCAAGCTATATTTTTCTTTCTTTTTTTTTTTACATTTTATTCAAGTGACACAATTCCACATAAAACCTCATTAGGTACCCCATCACATAGTGGCCTATAGTGATCGCCCTGTCTGTGTATCTATGCATCTGTCACCCACACATTTGTATCCACTTCATAACTTCCTCACCAATCATGGTAGTGCAATAAAACTTTGTATTCCTATTCACCATTAATGTTTCAAATACCAAAGTCCTGTTTGCACTGCAAAGGTCTAGTTCTCAAACTTTGGGCTTTTCATGGGACCTCTTTATTTACTACAGAAAGTTGTGTCCACTTAATCACTTTGTAAATTACTACATTTTGCCATTTCTTTCAATGAATATTGGTTTTTCATAGTTTTTTTAATCTTGGGTATAAAAATTTAGGCCCTTACCATCACTGACAAGTCCAAGAAGGACAAACGTTTTTATGACACTGTTCAATTTATTATTTGGCACTAATGTATTCAATTATGAATTTGCATTCAAATGTGCTTTTTACTCGTGTGCCTTTTATAGATTCTTTGATATGTAACCAGTTATAGTTGATGGATGAAAATTTACATGATTGTTAACCGCTATGAGAGGGTGAATCACAAACTTAATTTGATTTGTCCCTCAGGTCAAGGTCTTAAACTTTGGTCTTCCCATTGTAGCTGATATGATGAAAGTTGTATCTGCTCTACAACAGTCAGTTAAATCTTGCCCTTAGAGATGGTTTCTACTTCCATTTCATCTTGCAAACTTTTTTTATGTTGATTGGCATTGCTTTTTGTAACAGATTTTTTTTTTTTTTTTTGTTAGTATTGGTTTCACATTATCTGTATGCATTTACATGGTTCTGACTTGTTAAGGTATTTTCAAACACAATTTTCTAATTTTTATGTATTATTAAGTGTCAACTTGTAGTTTTATATACTTCATAAAAAACACAATTTGTATTTAGTGCCAGTCCACTTTTTTATCCTCTCTTTTTTGTTCCTGACAACTTGCACACCACACACCTGTTATTATGTCATTCAGCTACAAATATTCATGCACATTTCTCCCCATGAAATGGTAACTTATACACATGTTACATGTATTATATACTACTATAGTAATTTGCTGATATATAGTGTTGTAATCAGTTTTTAGCCCATCTTCCTCAGATGGTAGGTAATTCAGGTTTGTCCAATGACCATGGTCTGCTGTACATCTGTCCATAAACGTTTTTTGTTATCACTAGTTCTTTAGAAGGACAGGGTGGATTTTTCTCAAATGTAGGGTTTTCCATAATTTTGTTAGTAGTAGGCTGTGTAGTGAAAGTAGGAGGCTGGCCTGCCGTGTACGTGTAGTCGTGTACAGAACATTATTACAGAACTGGATTGGTGTAGGCGGCCAAATGATCAAAGTAGCCGGTCAAATTGGCCGTCGACCGGCTCTTATGGAAAACCCTGCAAATGGCCTACATAGGTTCCCCTTGGTCATTAGTTATGCTTTTTAGATTTTGGGACTGATCAGAAAAACAAAATGGTTGACAGGTGGCCATCTTTATATGATAAGAATTAAAAAAAAAACTCCAAAATTTTGATGATCACATATAGGTCAAACAATGGTAGGTACCAGGATCGCTCTTGTACCTCTTATTAATAACAGCACACCTATTTCTTTAATGTTAAAGTAAGCTAACATTAAGTGAAAGTAAAACATAGGTGAATGTAAATCCAATACCAGTAGTATGGACTCAGATGATAAGACAGTAGTAACCCCAATATTTGATGCTGAAGGACTTTTTATCATTGGCACTAATATAAACATATGTGCTAATGTTATTAAATTGATTTAATCATTCAAAAAACACCTGTATGATAAAAAGCTCACCTGTACCTATTAATTACTGTTTACTAGAGCTACCAACAAAAATGAGTAATGAGGCAAGCTGCAAATAATATTCCTTATCCCTGAAAAAAGTCCACACCAACTTCCATGTTGTCACTTTTGGTTAAGTGTCAATAATTAGACAGGAAATGGAATGTTAACATGTTTTAGATGGTTTTAGATTTTGGACCTTTGAGCTATAGAAGCAAATTTTCTAACTAATTAACTTCCTAGTTACAGGTAGGAATTCAAACCAGTCATCCTACATACATATCTGTGTGGTCAAGTTATCTAGGAGCTAAACGTGTGTTACCTATGTTTATATGAATTGGCACCACATTGCCTTGCTATATCCTCAGATTTGTGTACTAAGTGGGACATACATAGTATGATCTTTCACTATAACCAATCTGAACCGGTAGTCAGTATTTCAATTTTGTAGACAATCAAGCAATAAATATTTTTACTAGCCATTCTTAATACATTATTTGTATAGTTGGCTACAATTTGATATTATCAAGGAAAGATATCTGAGTGATATCGGTCACTCAGAGTTTATATCAACAAACAGTGATATCATCTGTTGTATTTAATTGTCATAGGGATGTGGAAATTCTAGACTTGAGGCCCCAATTCCAGGGAAAATGCTGGATGCAGAGAGCAATGAGTCATTTTAAGCCATTTTTAATTCATGTCAAAAACTGACACTGCCATCCTATGAAAATTTGACAGAAAAAAAAAATGGAGGTTAGGTTTCAGCTTTGAGACTCTATGGTCCCCTACTAGATTATCACTGCATTCCTGCACTTAATCATTGCTTGAATATTTTTTTCTTTGATAAATAATTGGTTTCAGTGCCTCTCTACTGTAATGTGACATCCTTTAGTTACTTACGTGTATCGTGTAGCCTGCACTTCTAAATGACAAGTGTCTTTGTTGGATGAGACAGAAGGAGTGATGGGAAGCCTTGTGGTACTTATGCATTATCTCTTTCACAAATAGGCAACCAGGTTTTCATTCCCTAGTCTGACATGATAAAGATCAGATACTTCCAACTTGGCGAAGAAAAGAGATCAATATGAATTCACCTAACTTGTTTCACTAATATTGTAGATGATTGTAGTTTAACATGAGATATGTTTCAACAGGTATAGAAAATACAGCTACATCTTGGACAACTACACCAACTTTTGCCCTCTGCTATATGGTAACAATCTCTTAGTCAAAACAATTGATATTCTTGTCAAGAAGGCACTGGCTTCAGTTGAAATTATGAAGGAAAAGTAGGGAAGAAGTTTTGCTCCATCAAGCTTCAAAAAATCCTGAAGTAATGATAAATGAGAATGGAAGACTTTTTGTGCTGTCAGTGCAAGATGTTTCTAACTTGTCCAACCTGCTTGATACATTTAGAAGACATTTACACAGAACAACATCTTAATTAAAATTAGATTATAATCCAGTTGTCTTGACGTAAAATCCACGAGGAAGATAATTCAGATGAATAGAAATATTTTGAAATCAGTACATTGAATATTGTACAAGAAAAACCTGTGTGTTTCAGATCAAATTATCCCAATCTTAGGTTGACTGTCTCTGACATATTTGACATGTCTTTGATGTAAATCAGGTTTTATTATAGAATATTTTGAATGAGATAAATTGATCTTGCTTATGCCTTTACATATTTGTGTTTTTGAAACAGAGGTGGCATCATAAACAAACACTTGAAACTTCATTAACTTGTAGCTATGGCTGAAAAGTCTAAAATGGTTACATGTGATTTTTAAACAGAGGTGGAGACATGCACACTACCGGAGTCTAAACGCTTGCTGATCCTCATCAACCCACATAGTGGTCCCGGTAAAGCCCAACAGATATTTGAAAAGGAAGTAGCTCCAATGCTGAATGAGGCAAATGCAGATTATGAAGTAAAAATTACAGGTCAGACAACTTTTTTTTGTAAGGATGATATTAGCATATTGTTTAAGATGTAAAGGATAAAGGTCTTGACTCACAAAGGACACCAGTGTTCCTATGAACAGAATACTTGGAATAGATCATCAAAATGTACCTTATAAGGTAAATGGATTTCTCTTTTGAATTTAAATGGATATCCATTTTACTGTGGCTGGATAGATGCAATGGTAGAGAATTGACAGATTTCAAAGTCCATCGGCAAACCAAAAATCATTTTCCTCTTCCCTTCAAATTCTGATACATGAACATTTCATTGTGTAAAAAGTCCATTATTTGAAATTTTGTTCAATGCAGTTTCAAAGATACAGTCGCATCAATGATCAAGTAAAAACCAAATAGACAGCCAAGGTTGCATGACTTATCTCTCCTTGCCAAAATTCTTTATACAATGTCACCATTCTGACCTACATTTTGATCTCTGGCCGATATCAGAGGAAAGGTTTAGACTCCATCTCTTACACTATTTGTTACTGGAACTCACTGGAGATATGGGTTCACTTGTAGTGCATTCTTTGCATATAATTTCACATTGGTTGGGAGACTGTAATTTGAAAAATTTTTTTGGTTGTTTTGTTTTTTCCAAACTATTGCATAGGATTTTTGTTTTTTTTGTAGAACATGCAGGTCATGCCACAGAAATCATGGTCAGTTTGGATCTATCTCAGTGGTATGCTGTAATCATTGTATCAGGGGATGGACTGATATATGAGGTGAGAATAACAGATATACATAGCAATTCAGGTACTTCTGTCACCTGAGACAAAGTGTACAGAGTGACAGGTTACCCGTGACAAAGTGTAAGGGTGACAGGTTACCCGAGACAAAGTGTACAGAGTGACAGGTTACCCGTGACAAAGTGTAAGGGTGACAGGTTACCCGAGACAAAGTGTACAGAGTGACAGGTTACCCGTGACAAAGTGTAAGGGTGACAGGTTACCCGAGACAAAGTGTACAGAGTGACAGGTTAACCGTGACAAAGTGTAAGGGTGACAGGTTACCCGAGACAAAGTGTACAGAGTGACAGGTTACCCGAGACAAAGTGTAAGGGTGACAGACTACCCGTGACAAAGTGTAAGGGTGACAGACTACCCGAGACAAAGTGTAAGGGTGACAGGTTACCCGAGACAAAGTGTAAGGGTGACAGACTACCCGTGACAAAGTGTAAGGGTGACAGGTTACCCGAGACAAAGTGTAAGGGTGACAGGTTACCCGTGACAAAGTGTAAGGGTGACAGACTACCCGTGACAAAGTGTAAGGGTGACAGACTACCCGAGACAAAGTGTAAGGGTGACAGGTTACCCGAGACAAAGTGTAAGGGTGACAGGTTACCCGAGACAAAGTGTAAGGGTGACAGGTTACCCGAGACAAAGTGTACAGGGTGACAGGTTACCCGAGACAAAGTGTAAGGGTGACAGACTACCCGAGACAAAGTGTAAGGGTGACAGACTACCCGTGACAAAGTGTAAGGGTGACAGGTTACCCGAGACAAAGTGTAAGGGTGACAGACTACCCGAGACAAAGTGTAAGGGTGACAGACTACCCGAGACAAAGTGTAAGGGTGACAGGTTACCCGAGACAAAGTGTAAGGGTGACAGGTTACCCGAGACAAAGTGTAAGGGTGACAGGTTAACCGTGACAAACTGAAGGGTGACAGGTTAACCGTGACAAAGTGTTAGGGTGACAGGTTACCCGAGACAAAGTGTAAGGGTGACAGGTTAACCGTGACAAACTGAAGGGTGACAGACTACCCGAGACAAAGTGTAAGGGTCACAGGTTAACCGTGACAAAGTGTTAGGGTGACAGGTTACCCGAGACAAAGTGTAAGGGTGACAGACTACCCGAGACAAAGTGTAAGGGTGACAGACTACCCGAGACAAAGTGTAAGGGTGACAGGTCACCCGAGACAATGTGTACAGAGTGACAGGTTACCCGAGACAAAGTGTAAGGGTGACAGACTACCCGTGACAAACTGAAGGGTGACAGACTACCCGTGACAAAGTGTAAGGGTGACAGACTACCCGTGACAAAGTGTAAGGTTGACAGACTACCCGTGACAAAGTGTTAGCCTTTTGTCCGGCGTCTTGTGTTGTAAAACTTTTTACATTTCCCATATTCCCTGGGGCTTGAGGGGCGAGGCCAAAATGGATCAAATTGACTTCAATTTCAGTTCAAAGATGTTCTACTGTTCATGGATGGAAGATTTTATATAGGAGAATTAAAAATGAAAATATTTGAGTTGAATTTCTTTTAATTCAAGCTTTGTTAGGAGCCTTGTCCAGCAGATAATGTAATGCACAGTTTATATTTGCATTATGTGTACAATGTAGCTAAAGTTATCTTTTCTTTTTAAACAAAATCAATTTGACATGTTACAAGCAGCATAGTGACCGTTAAGGTCCTTGGGACTCTTGTTATGAATACACCTAGGATGTCTTTTAAATGCAAGATGGAATTGGAGCAAATTGAGCTTGTAAGTACAACAAAACAAATGAAAAAGCAATCGTTATATTAGATTCTTAACACCATGTTTGTTAGCATGATTACATGGGAAAAACTTTACGATAACATGTTAGTACGTTTGGCATGGGAAGTATGGTATTAAATGAGACATACACCTTGTGACCTGACAAAGGGAGGTAAGAGGATGGAATAACTCGGTGCCTGTACCAGTTAGTTTGGGAGAAAATTGATGTCCTGTTTTCTGAAAAGATCACTGAAAAGTTGAGGGCTGTTACCAGGATGTGCCATTATAGCTCAGTTAGATCCAAGTAATTTTTCATTGTTCATGGTGGCTGGTGTAAACTGTATATCAGAAAATGTTCATTTCAGGATACATTCACCCTTCAATCAACAAAAATGTTTCTGACTATTTCAAAATTTATCCTTACCATACATTTTTACAGTAAGGAGTTGTGAAACTTTTATTGTGTTGCTAAATTCACCTCTCTTACAGGAAAAATGGACTCTCTATATATACATCATTTCTATTTTAAAAAATTATAAATTATAGATGCCATGCCTTTGTATGCTAAAATCTACTTATTTGATAACCTTTTTTCACAGACAATTAATGGCCTGATGAAACGACCAGACTGGGAAAGAGCTATCCAGTTTCCGGTGGGGTGTTTACCAGGAGGCTCCGGGAATGCTTTGTGTTGGACCATCAATTACTTAGCTGGGTAAGATTAGGGCCAGAAATAACTGTGTAAGCTGCCAAGTTTAATGGCTTTTTGAATTATGTACATTTTGTATGTATTGAAATACTTGTTGTTTACTTTTTTTATTTAATATTGACAAAGATTATCAGAATGTCATTATTGGGTTAAAATAAAGAATGATAAAAAAATTGTTATTTTTTCCAACCAACTGGATATTTTACTTCTTTACTAACCTATTTAAGGCACTCTCTGTCACTTAAGACAAAAAATTCAAAAGGAAGGAGCCAACGTCAGGTATAAGTAAGTGGGTGTTAGGTGGGTACTTCTCTGTGAGTATGGAGTCCAGACAAAAATTCTAAATCCATCTCTATAGACATGAAATCTGACATGATGAGATTAAGGTTTTGCTAAGTATTAACCTGTTGGTATCTTTACTATGAAGGTTGTTAAATAAACTTGACCATGACTAATTCTGAACATCATGGAAGTGAGATATGTTTCCAATACATTGGTTAACAACATAAAACTTCATTGGTAGATAGATTGCGATAAGGAGAGGTGCAGTGTTCAAGAACCTTAACTCTCTTTTGCATAATTTAGTACTTATTGAAACTTGGTGTATACATTTGTCATACTAAGAGATTGTGTAGTATACCAAATTCAGGGCCTGCAACTTCTAAATTACATAATTATTGCCCTTTGATTAAATTTCTTGTACAATAAAGCCATTTTCGGAGAGCATTTATCAGTTTCACTGATACCCCAGTTTTGTTTGTGTTTAGGGAGCCAGTAGGGGATGAGATGGTTCTTCACTCGACGTTTATACTGCTGAAGCATCGCCTGATTCCCATGGACCTAGTAGTGATTCAGCTACCTACAATTCAGGTCTTTTCCTTTCTGTCTGTCACTTGGGGAATGATCGCTGACATCGACTTTGAGAGCGAAAAACTTCGGGCATTTGGAGCAGCTCGCTTCACTATCTATGCATTAATCAGAATACTCAGTAAGTGTGACCTCAATAATGACTTTTTTGGTCTATTGTTAGAATACTCAGTAAGTGTGACCTCAATAATGACTTTTTTGGTCTATTGTTAGAATACTCAGTAAGTGTGACCTCAATAATGACTTTTTTGGTCTATTGTTAGAATACTCAGTAAGTGTGACCTCAATAATGACTTTTTTGGTCTATTGTTAAAATTCTCACTAAGTGTGACCTCAATAATGACTTTTTTGGTCTATTGTTAGAATACTCAGTAAGTGTGACCTCAATAATGACTTTTTTGGTCTATTGTTAAAATTCTCACTAAGTGTGACCTCAATAATGACTTTTTTGGTCTATTGTTAGAATACTCAGTAAGTGTGACCTCAATAATGACTTTTTTGGTCTATTGTTAAAATTCTCACTAAGTGTGACCTCAATAATGACTTTTTTGGTCTATTGTTAGAATACTCAGTAAGTGTGACCTCAATAATGACTTTTTTGGTCTATTGTTAAAATTCTCACTAAGTGTGACCTCAATAATGACTTTTTTGGTCTATTGTTAGAATACTCAGTAAGTGTGACCTCAATAATGACTTTTTTGGTCTATTGTTAGAATACTCAGTAAGTGTGACCTCAATAATGACATTTTTGGTCTATTGTTAGAATACTCAGTAAGTGTGACCTCAATAATGACATTTTTGGTCTATTGTTAGAATACTCAGTAAGTGTGACCTCAATAATGACTTTTTGGTCTATTGCTAAAATTCTCACTAAGTGTGCTTTCAATAGGTCCATTTCAATCTTTTGCTAGAATACTTGGTAAATGTACCCACTATAATGTGTATTTCAGTCTATTGTTAGAAATTCAGCAAGTGTGCCTTCTATAACATTGCTATACTTCCCCATTAAGTGTGCCTTCTATAACATTGCTATACTTCCCCATTAAGTGTGCCTTCTATAACATTGCTATACTTCCCCATTAAGTGTGCCTTCTATAACATTGCTATACTTCCCCATTAAGTGTGCTTTCAACAGTGTCTGTTTCATTCTATTAATCTTATTTTCATCTTTAACATTCTTAAGTCAGTGGTAAATGTGAATTGATTCTGTTTTTTTTCTTGGTTTAGGTACATAATGTTTATACATATATTATCACAAGGAAATAACCCCTAATTACTAAGCAATATGCTTGTTGCATTGAAGTATTCTTTATTCATTAAAGGACCTCGCAGCTACAAAGGAGAGTTGGCTTTTCTTCCAAAAGGACAATACACTCCCAAGACACAGCAGGCAATTGCCAAGAACACAATTCGTCGGATGGCCAGTCGTGAAACTGCAGGGTCAGTATGTGAGAATGGAGCAGTGGGAACCTATCGCACAATATCAGAAGACAGTGAGAGATTGCGATCAGTTTCAGTGCCAGTGATGCCAATTTCCAGCAGTAAACACAACTATGCTAAAGACAATTTGGGTATGGTGTTTGATGAGACTGTGAAAGAAGAGAATCTTTCTGACGTCAATGGGCACTCCAGCGGCCACCTAGATGAGCATACAGAGGTGAATGGCATGGGTGCATCAAATGTGAGCTTTGATACAGAAATAGGTGGTGCCAATGGACCTGTGAATCATTTACAAGCCGATGATAATCGGGATCCTTCACAAGCTTCAGGCAGCTCACCCTATAGTCCCAACGTGTCTTGTTCTCTCCTTCCTCCCTTGGATAAACCTGTTCCTCCTGACTGGGTCAAAGTGAAGGGAGATTTCCTCACTGTTCTTGCTACATATCAGCCCTATCTAGGCCCGGACAACTTGTTCGCTCCTGATGCTAGGCTAAATGATGGCTGCATCCATCTTTTGTTTATTCGCTCTGGCATCACAAAAAAGACATTGTTGGAGATTTTTCTTTCTATTGATGAAGGAAACCATATTAATTCTCCTTATGTTGAATATGTGAAAGTGTCAGCATTTCGACTGACACCAGATGATTTGTCGATTGGAAATCTGATGGTAGATGGAGAACATGTGGACATGGCGCCAATTCAGGGACAAATATTCCCACAAATGGGTCGCATTATGGGTATTCAGTAGAACAAGTCAACAGAATTTTATTATTCAAATCGCTCTGCATCCGTGGTTCGTCCATCCATGCATCCGTCTGTCTGTCCATCTGTCCATAAACAAATTTTGTTATCACTACTTCTTGAGAAGTACGGGATGGATCTTTCTAAAATTTCATATGTAGGTTTCACTTGGTCCCTAATTGTGCCCGTTTCATTTTGGGACTGATCATGAAAACAAAATGGCAGGAAGGTGGCCATCTAGGATTTTACTCAGTTAAGATTGTTATTGCTATTTCTTAAGTAGTACTGAATGATATCTCAAATTTCATATATATGTTCCCTTTGGTCTCTCCTTGTGCCTGTTTGCTTTTTGGACTGATCAAAAGAAACAAAATGGCTTCAAGGTGGCCATTTTTTGATTTGGCAGGTAAAGATAATTATCGCTATTTCTGCAAAGGAATGTTCAAATGTCTCATCATTAAGAGCAAAAACAGAGAAGAGAAAAGAAGGGAAAAGATCCAACTTTCAAAGAGCAGATAAAGATCAAATAATGGGGGGTGTCAAGATCCCTCTGGGATCTCTTGTTGGATATTAGGGACGGAGATATCAAAACACAGCTACATGTGTGTTATGATGTAGATTCTAACAAATACTCTCAGATTCTAGTACTAGTTTTCACATTTTTTAAATTCAGCATTTCTATTTCTTCCATTTAAGTGTTTAATTTACTGAAAAAATATATAAATAGACATATATATATATAAATGATTATCTATATATTTTAATATTTTTATAGAGATTCTGCTTTAAAAAGCGTTTTTCTATGACCATCCAAAATTTAAATGCTCTGTTGTAAGGTTATTGATTCCATAAGTGTTGAGTGTGATTGTGCGTACATTTAAGTGTAAAGTTTGGAATATATTCATATTATATTATAATGTGGGTATTAGATATGATTATGTTTTTCTCCCTTGGAGGTATTATAAGTGAACAATTCTTATACGAAACTTAATCTGTGTTTGTATGGTTGTTATGTTAACCTGTATCAGGATACCAACATTTGAACATCTGTGTTTGTGAATGTGAAGAGCAGACTGAATGTGTATGCAGTAACAGATATATAATGTGTAGCACAACGATCATCTTTTTATTTCTGGTATAAATGTGGATCAAATTTGTATTTTCACGTACACATGTTCTTTCTTCTGATGTTGAACTTTTCATTTCAAGGTAGCTGAGAGAATGCTTATTATTCTTTTATTATTTTTTTTTCATGATTTTTTTTTTTTAAATTTTTGTTGATTTTTATATAATTTTTTGACCTGTTTTGACTCTTGCTATTGTTACAGGGCATTAACATTTAAGACACTCCTACCATCACCTGAATAACATGAATGGTGGGTTTAAGATGTGATTGCTGTATATCATGCCATCTTTTTTGTCAACTTTTTCTGTAATGTAGGAGTTCATGTAAATAATGTGTTTGGAATCATCAAGGTAATATAAAGAAAATATATCTAGTGTACATAGTTAACAGTGAATGTTTATATCAGGGGATACTGGTTTTGAATATCTCGGCTGATACACAGTGTATAACCAGGTAAAACTATTGAAAGGCTTGGCAAGTGTGATTTCTCTCATATAAAATATACTGCAATCCAGTGTATGAAGTATATAGGTAAATTAACTTAATGTGAGAATTATTTACTGTGGATCGTGACATGGTTATGTACGCGATAGCACTTCAAATGCTGATCAAAAGGAATGAACTACAGTAGGTAACCATTCATTAAAGCATACAACCATATAAGGTTTCGTGATTTAAAATGACAATAGTCAAAACAATGGCAGAAATTTATTATGACAAATTCATCTAAAATGCCATTTACCAAGTGTGCTGGCATCTTTTATTAGGCTTTTTAGGGTCATCAGGATTGGATATATAAAAATCATTAAACATTGACATCTATATTGAAGTGATGATGCTGTGTAATATAGAAGGATAAAAAGCTATTGAAATTCAAATTACTCACTTCATTTTCTCTTTCCAGGTCACTTAAATGTTATTAAGTTCATGTCCCCCCTTTTTTTTTGAATATGAAACAGAAATGTATTTATTATTAACCAAGCAGTTGAGATACCCTGTTGGTGTGATGGCCAAAGGTATGCCTACAATGTATTGGATAGGTAGCTCAATTATTGTCTTTCATTGTCAATGCTATCGTAGTTCATATGTCTATCTGTGCTTTGGGCTTTATTGATGAAGGTGTGTGTATTACCTATAGGAATTATTTGTAGTCAGAGTTAGAGAGAACTTTGGTAAATCTATCACAGCCAAATGATCAGTGTCTTTTGTACCACCACAAAGTAACATCAGTCAAAGTAAAATTATCTAGTTCTAAGGCTGCAGTTTGTGGGGAATGTAGACTACAGAGACACTGATCTAGTTCTGTGCCTGCAGTTTGTGGGGAATGTAGACTACAGAGACACTGATCTAGTTCTAAGACTGCAGTTTGTGGGGAATGTAGACTACAGAGACACTGATCTAGTTCTGTGCCTGCAGTTTGTGGGGAATGTAGACTACAGAGACACTGATCTAGTTCTATGTCTGCAGTTTGTGGGGAATGTAGACTACAGAGACACTGATCTAGTTCTATGTCTGCAGTTTGTGGGGAATGTAGACTACAGAGACACTGATCTAGTTCTATGTCTGCAGTTTGTGGGGAATGTAGACTACAGAGACACTGATCTAGTTCTGTGCCTGCAGTTTGTGGGGAATGTAGACTACAGAGACACTGATCTAGTTCTAAGTCTGTAGTTTGTGGGGAATGTAGACTACAGAGACACTGATCTAGTTCTATGTCTGCAGTTTGTGGGGAATGTAGACTACAGAGACACTGATCTAGTTCTATGTCTGCAGTTTGTGGGGAATGTAGACTACAGAGACACTGATCTAGTTCTGTGCCTGCAGTTTGTGGGGAATGTAGACTACAGAGACACTGATCTAGTTCTAAGGCTGCAGTTTGTGGGGAATGTAGACTACAGAGACACTGATCTAGTTCTATGTCTGCAGTTTGTGGGGAATGTAGACTACAGAGACACTGATCTAGTTCTAAGGCTGCAGTTTGTGGGGAATGTAGACTACAGAGACACTGATCTAGTTCTGTGCCTGCAGTTTGTGGGGAATGTAGACTACAGAGACACTGATCTAGTTCTAAGGCTGCAGTTTGTGGGGAATGTAGACTACAGAGACACTGATCTAGTTCTAAGGCTGCAGTTTGTGGGGAATGTAGACTACAGAGACACTGATCTAGTTCTAAGGCTGCAGTTTGTGGGGAATGTAGACTACAGAGACACTGATCTAGTTCTATGTCTGCAGTTTGTGGGGAATGTAGACTACAGAGACACTGATCTAGTTCTAAGTCTGTAGTTTGTGGGGAATGTAGACTACAGAGACACTGATCTAGTTCTAAGGCTGCAGTTTGTGGGGAATGTAGACTACAGAGACACTGATCTAGTTCTAAGGCTGCAGTTTGTGGGGAATGTAGACTACAGAGACACTGATCTAGTTCTATGTCTGCAGTTTGTGGGGAATGTAGACTACAGAGACACTGATCTAGTTCTAAGTCTGTAGTTTGTGGGGAATGTAGACTACAGAGACACTGATCTAGTTCTAAGGCTGTAGTTTGTGGGGAATGTAGACTACAGAGACACTGATCTAGTTCTATGTCTGTAGTTTGTGGGGAATGTAGACTACAGAGACACTGATCTAGTTCTATGTCTGTAGTTTGTGGGGAATGTAGACTACAGAGACACTGATCTAGTTCTAAGGCTGTAGTTTGTGGGGAATGTAGACTACAGAGACACTGATCTAGTTCTAAGTCTGTAGTTTGTGGGGAATGTAGACTACAGAGACACTGATCTAGTTCTAAGGCTGTAGTTTGTGGGGAATGTAGACTACAGAGACACTGATCTAGTTCTATGTCTGTAGTTTGTGGGGAATGTAGACTACAGAGACACTGATCTAGTTCTATGTCTGCAGTTTGTGGTGAATGTAGACTACAGAGACACTGAACTAGTTCTAAGGCTGCAGTTTGTGGGGAATGTAGACTACAGAGACACTGATCTAGTTCTATGTCTGCAGTTTGTGGGGAATGTAGACTACAGAGACACTGATCTAGTTCTATGTCTGCAGTTTGTGGGGAATGTAGACTACAGAGACACTGATCTAGTTCTAAGCCTGCAGTTTGTGGGGAATGTAGACTACAGAGACACTGAACTAGTTCTAAGGCTGCAGTTTGTGGGGAATGTAGACTACAGAGACACTGATCTAGTTCTAGTCGCAGCTTTCGATAGACCAACTTGTTCTATGTAAGTCAATGGCCTAAATGTTGTGACAGAACTGATATAATATATATATGTAAATTGTTGATACAAATCATGCTTGTTATTTCGCAGTTACATGTAATGATATGGCACTTCTGCTCAATGTTTGTTATTTTTTATGCACTTTTTGTGTGATATTTTGAGTAATCAATATTTTTTCTATTTATAGTTTGTTGTCAGATTATGCTTTGTAAATTGTATGTTGTTCATAATTGGATATTTTATTTTTTAGATGCTTATCATGTGAAGTAATGTTTGCTTTGTATCTTTAATGATGGGTTGTTCCAGAAAGTTGCCATATATAATTAATTCTTGCTCACAAGAATGTCCATTCCCATCAGTGTTCTCATTCTGTTTATACACTTTAAACCCAGTGCTTCTAATTATTTCTGTTTTTTGCAATGGGTCAAGTTAAGAATGAACCACCAAGAGCATGTTTTCTGTATAAAAGATGAAATATGGAGCAGCTCAGTACATCAAATAGTACATGCAGTGTTAATGCAGGGGTTGAAAATCAGATGTCAAGTTTTACATTTCATTGATTAGTATTCCGTTTCATCTATCAGCGTTAGGTACCACAGGTGTGAGTCTTTGTTTTTAGATTTATGCAGATATTGGAAATATTTTTTAAAGTAATGCAAT